CACACACACACAGAGAGAGAGAGAGACAGAGAGAGAGAGTCAGAAAAACACAGACATTCTAGGACAGTAACAAATCCAAGCGTCCGTTACCTGTAGAGCCCTATGACAGTCTTGAAGTCTAGATCGGTGCTCCCGTACCACAAGAGATGTATCACATCTGGCACAGGCCGCCAGTCGTAGCAATGTTGTTGCACGTAGAGGCGAAGACACGCTCTCTCGGCATCACTTCTGAACGTCTGAAGTGTCTCATTGAACGGAACCCACCGCACTTCCGAGGTCGATGTAGAGCCATCAGCGCCGCACGATATAAATGTCTGTTGTCTTTGCTTGGTGGCTTTTTCGGCTTCGGTTATATTGTTCACGACGCCATCTTTGCAAGTGAAAGTTGGGTCAGAGATTATGCGTTTTGGAAGATCCGGATTTCCTTCCGGAGGCGGAAGACACTTTTGGCTTCCGGGGTAAACAGAGAGTAGATACTTCTCGTACGGTTTTTTAACTTTTGGCGCAGTCGCATTCGTGTGATTCTTCTTTAGCTGTTGGAGCACTGTAGCCTTTGTGTTGACAACGATTCTTCCGACAACCGGATTTGTGTTTGCTGGAATGTTACTCCCCACAGTGGGTAGATACTTCATGTCGTCCAGGCGAACGTTCATGAAGTAGTAATTGTTCCCAACGTAGTTGAGGAAAAGACCGACGCTGCAGAAAACTGCCAGGAATGTCGCGACTTTCCTGATGGAAGTCCCACAAAGGATGCCTGTGGATGACACAAAGAAGCGGGATAGGAACGATTTTCGCTGGGCTTGTTTTTCGCGTGCAAAATAATATGTGAGGCAGCGTGGTGGAATCAGGCTCTCGTCAAAATAATCAAAGTGAAGAAACTTGCATTTTTCCGCAGGTTTGAGAATTTTTATCAATTTTTTGTTTTTTGGATCAATACCTTTCATGCCCAGTAAAGAACTCATTTCTGTGTGGATTTTCCCGAAAAGCTTTGATTAAAGGCATAAAAAAATGTAAATCTTCAGTTACCACAGACTCTTAAGCTAAGGAAATAACTAATCTTTGGCAGCCATTTTATCACTAATTTTACCCCTGAAAAAAGGTGACCTCCACCTCCTTCTTTTGCAAATATCTCGACTTGTATTCAAGATAAATGGATATTTTTTGCATTCAAATAAAGACAAGTGAACAAGCTTTAAGATGATATAAATAACTCTACATGCCCAAATATTGACGAGAGCCAGATTCCACTATGCTGCCTGACATATATAT